GCGCCAAGTAATTGCCAGCATTATTCCATGGGTTTAAAAAATTTGCTTGCCTAAAGGTTTTGAGTATAGACTAAAGTATATACCCCAAAACCCTGTTCCAATTATATTCGGATGCTATATAGGTCAACTTCTGGAGTACTCGACTGGCGTGCCCACAGACTCGCCTGTCTCCGTCCTTCTCTGAGGCGATCGATCAGGCACAGCGCCATCTGGCATGCATGGAGCAGGCTCGCTCGAGAAGCTCAAGCAGTAGAAAGCTCGGACAGTAGCAATCGCCAGGATAGAGACCCCGCCGCGGGTGTTTGGGAATTTTGGGGAAGTTGGGAGGGAACTTCGGGAATTTTGATCTTCGGTGGCTCTGCATGAGCTTTATAACTGCTCGTCGACTCTCTGGCGTGCCGAACTTACTGCTTCTGGGGGCTGCCAAGGCTTTTCCGTAAAGCGACTAGATTGGTCCAGCCTTAAGCTTTAGGCTTGGGCCGAGGCCTTAGCAGATGTCGTAACACATTCGCTAAGATTGTGGCGCGGTTCTCAAATTCAAGCACAGACCGCGGTCGTGAACCCCTAAACTTCTGCAAGTCAACACGCACCCTGGAGCTTTATTGGGTCACCTCGACATACTTCTACTGTCTCACACCATCACGAAACTGCCCAAGACCCTGTTCTAGTCTGTAATGCCCCTATCTTAAGGCCGGCCCCTGTACCTACAGAAGAGACAAAACCTGGACCCAGACCTCAAAACTTACCCCTAAACCCTAGACCCCTTAAGCCCTATTAGCTTTCCCGACCTAAATCTCAGCCATGCGACAGGGAAGCAAACACCTAAACCCTATACTCCTATGAACTCTATCTAAATCCAAACCCGAAAAGCCACCGGCAATCGGAAAAAGGTGTCAAATAAACCCTAAACCCCAAACCCTAAACCGGATGACACAAATCGAAACCCTAAACCCCAAACCCTAAACCCCTGAACCCCTGAACCCCAAGCCCTGCCCAAAGGAGCTCCAGACCAGCAAAGACCAAGCTGATGCTCTCTATGCAGAGACTCTCGGCCTCTTCGCAAAGCTGCATGCATATCTATATATATATATATAAATACGTATGTATGTATGTATGTATATATGCGTGTGTATTTGTATGTATACTTATATACAGACGGGCCTTGCAGAAATAGAATAGGGTTGAAGGGATATTAGAGTACGTGCCCTAGACTAATAACTAATATAGGGGCCGCTCACTTCCAACCGGCTGTTTCGGGTTTAATCAGGTTTCTTCTGGCAGTACTTTCAGCCTCCAACGGCGAGGTTCCAGCGATCTGCATTCCGGTTCAATCGAGGCTTCGTGGCACTCCGGTCGGTGCGGTTGTTGGGTTTATGGCTGCGCAGCATTCGGGCGAGTGCAGTCGTAGAAATACGGACAAGAGATAACAACGCAGCAATAGATGGCTTTGTCACAAGGACAGCAAGAAGAAACCATCCATCTAACATTAGTTAAAAAGAACTCAGAAACAGACTTGTAAAGACGATGTGGAGGACAGTGGATACAACAAATGGTATATGTGCTACCGGTGAAGCTTCATCCTAAATACCGAATACCCACTGGAGCCCCTGGCTCCGGCAGTTTAGACGTCAAATCCCTAATTGCCGTTCTGTGCCTTCAAGAACCAGCTGGACTGCCATGCATGGGGGTAGAACACTATATTTCCAGGCCATTCAGCTAGCAAGGCGGCAGACACGAGCTTTGTTTGAAGCATTGGCCTAAGCCTGACACGCTTCGAGTCTTCTGAGAAGCGCCTAGCATCGTCGAGTCACTGTCTGTCGCTAGAGGCGAGACTGACACTTGGACGTGGCTTGTCGTCGTGGTTGATTCTGTTTATGTACACGAACCTAGCACAAGCACCAGCATTTCTCCACCCTTCTTTAAACATCTCGCCCGTCAATCAAGGAGCATTGGTATTGTGGTCCGTATTTTCGACGACAGGTCGTATATTTCACGAAACCAATTCTCGTCCGACCCGCTCCGCCAACTGAGGAAGGAGGCGCGGCTGAAGGAATTCCAGGCGGGTCGGCAACCTCTTGAGTCACCCATTCGGTCAAGCAAGATCAAGAGGTTTAAAAACTTAGTCACTAGTTTATGCTGCTTTGTTAAACCATGAAACCACCATGCTACCGTGCACTGCCACGAAGCCGGCTGCCATACTGCTACTTCTGCAGTTGACAACAATGGCTACTGCTACCAAAATATGGACGGCTGCAACCCACGACAAGCGACACTGACCACTCTTCTGCTACTACCTTCAGGGGCGCCTGCCATGTTCGATCCTTCTCCACCTATAGTAATTATACGTGCTATGAGGGTGATTCAGTCAGCAAATGTGACAAGCTAGTCCAAACAAAGCCCAACCCAGCAATCAAGTTTGCAAGCATTGGACTAGTAACAGTTCCCAGAGCATTAGCAGATGAGCAAGTCACAGCAGCTCCGCACTACAGTTGCAACCACTGCCACAGTCGCCTCCGCCACGACAAATACACCGAATACTGCCGTCCTTGATTATTTTCTGGTTCTTCCTGCCACCAGCAGGAAGATAAATTCAACAGTCTCGTGACTGCTTGCACCGTGTTGTTCCCACTGCCTTGCTGCTGCGTGGACTCGCTAGTTCCACGTTGACTTCGCGCTGTGCCGGAACACGGTAGATAAGCACTTGCCATACCGAAGTGATGGTTGTGCGCTCTTGCAGCCCCATAGGGTGGTTTGACTCGACTTGGCTGCAAGCTACCTTACCTCGCTCAGATTGTGTCGTCTCTGTGGCTTTCTGCTGCTTTCCTTCCTCCGTGCGCGCGGGCCAATGTGCTAGCTGCGAGAACTGCAGCGCACGTTTTGGCTTGTCTTGGTACGCGAGGATACCGCACGGAAGAACACGGATGAGGTGGTCAAGCATCACAAGGCGGGCAGGCAGAAATGACATCAGTTTCAGGATCAGCATAGAAGGGCCTAGGCATCAGGTCTGAAGGTTTTATGTGCACGCACAACGGCATTTGGTAGGCTTGCCGCTGCAATTTTGCAGCGGAGCTCTAGAGTCTTGAACTTCTTGCTTTCTGCGGTCCGAGGCATCCCGTTCTTTGCACTTGGGACAGGTTAAAAAGTTAAAGTCAGCCTTCAACCATGCCTGAACCCCTCGGACAACAATGGGTTTTCTGGACATCGCTGAAACTCCTACTGTTGAAGCCTGAATACCTAGCAATATTTTCCCGCTATAGTCACCCATTCTACATATACTATAACATACACCGAAACCCTGGTCCAATTGTTCTACATCTGCTTGTGGATTTTTTGAAATCCCGACAAGAAGCCTCTTGCTTTAATCTACCTCCAAGGCCTCAGTTCAAGTGCTACGGCACGCACCTGTACTAGTCAATAGCCTTTGTGGTAACCTCTTGAAGGGACCCTTTCGGAGACCCTTAACCCTAAGCCCTATGCTAACCTGTTAGAATAGGGTTTTTGAGTGTCGAAACCCTGTTCTAATGAAACCCTAAACCCCAAGCCTATGCTAACTTGTTAGAATAGGATTTTGAGTGCCGAGACCGTATTCCGATAAGTGATGTCTGTGGCAAGGAGCTCCTGGATCTCGAGAGGGCGCTGCACAACAGGAGAGAACTTCTTCACCAGCTTCCAGCCGATTGGACCCTCCCACACGAGTTGTGTTGACAGCACGAGGCACAGCGCGCAAAGCTAGTTCTTCGGGTCTAGAGTCTAGGGTTGGGGGACGGGATTTAGGCCTTGAAGCGATGGTGCACAGAATATATTAGAAGCAAATCCAAGAATGTCTTCTGGATGCTGGAGGAACGGAGGGCCATTCTCAAGGACAGAGTCTGAGCAGACAGCTGCCCAGACCAGACCAGGGGACGACGGAAACTGAAGAAGAACCTAAAACCTATGCCCAAAAACTCAGAGTACCGAACCCCAAAATCCGAAAGCACAAAATCCTACAACCCTGAGGCACCTACACCCACATTCGAACTTCGAACACCCGAAAACCCCAAGACGCTACGACCTTTGGGCATATGGAAAGCAGGAGCATGGAGCGAACGATGGACCGTTGGCTTCTTAGGATGCCTCCAGGTGTTTCCTTAGAGGATCTCTATGACTTACCCTAAGGGTCCATGTACCCATATATTATATACTTTGGCCCCAATGTACCTGTATAGGGACTACTTTAAGGCCAATGTATATACCATTTTAGTACATGGACCCTTAGGGTTATGCAGTTTAGAGTGCATTGCGGCTTTTGAGTTTGGGTTTATAGGGTTTTACAGTTCCTTTTGGCTTTGGACTTTAGTTTTGGGGTTCATAGGGTTTAAGTTTTGCTTGAGTCTTGAGTTTAGGATTTGGGGTTGGGGTCTGGAATTCGAGGTGTATATAGGGCCGACAGGATTAGAGAGTGGTAGTTCACATTTATTTCTGCAGCATCGCCGGCAAGGAGGGAAAAGCACCAACAAAGTCCTCAGGTATGTGAGAGCAATTCCTTCGTGCTACATTAACGTAGAAGCCCAAACAGTTACTGGCACTATTTCCTTCGGGTTTCTACAAAAACTGTCAAGCCCGCGTCAAATTATTCAGGCCTCCACTAGGCCCGAAAGCATCATGTCTGACCTCGACTTCGAGGAAACCGGAATCGAATAGGTGCAGGATGCCGATTGCAGCGCGAACATTCCGCTTCAGCTATCATTTTGTCCGCTGCCGCAGGCGTCTTCCAAAGCTGAGGCCTATGCCGCAGTTGAAAGCGACCATGACAATGAGAGCTTTGAAGAGACCTACAGACAAGAAGAGCTGTATAAGTCGGAAGTATGATCATCGAAACGACGGTAATCACACCTTCATAACTTAGCTTCACAATCATAAGGGTTGGTAGTATAGTGGCTTTCACAAGTATGACCTGATACACCTCAGAAGATCTCGTTGCCGCTATGCGGGTGACTGTGGCCTTGCTCAGCGGGGTGGAGGCAGCTGTGGAGGTGGCATCGGACACGACGGTGCAGGAGTGACGTGTGGGGAAGTGCGTCGGGAAGTCTTGGGGGGTGAGGGAGTTAAGGTTTGACTTTTTGTGTTTGGAGGGTTGTGATTTGCCTGTCGGAAGATGCACGAACTCCATAGCTTCATGCGCACTGCAACTCGTAATTTGCAGACCAGAACCCGTCTGCTGAGGAGCTCATCGATAGGGCTCAGGATGAGCTGAGACCCTGTGCCAGGAAGACCAATATAGGCACCTAGATTGGACTCCTTATCATGATTATAGTGCGATATAAGCCAAAACCTTTTAGAAGAATTAACAGGCAGGCTTCTGGAGGTTTTGGGGTTCATGATTCACGGTTTGGGGTTTAGGTTTAGGTTTTAAGAATGTCTCGACCTGGGGCTTTTGCCGCTTTTGCCGTCTTCCAAGGATCTGACCCTTGAGGCATGAGGAATAGTGCGGCCCATGAGCAGTTCCTCACTCCGTTAGGATTCTGCCGCTTAAAGCTCCAAGATGCACCCTGAAGCATATGGGACTAAGACAGGGTGTTCTAAACACCAGCTAAAAAAGGGCCGAACTCGTTACCAATACTATTTTTGGGGCTCCGTATTTTCAGTAGTATAATATACCCCAGAGCCCTTTTCTAATTATTAAGGCCCCTACATTAATTAAGGGCAAGCCTTTGGGTTTTGGTGTTGGGGTCCCGGCGCCTGTCCTGCCCACCGCAAACGTGGCAGACCCACAGTTTATCTTCAAAAAGCACTAAGCATCCCCCCCATGCCAGCAGCGATCGCCGTACCAGCCATCAACATCCAAACCATCAAGCGAGAAGAGCCTCATAAATGGTGAGGGTGGCAGGGCGGATGCAGTAACCATCACACCTGTCATCGTTTCTATGGCCCTACACCCTGCACCATAAACGCTAGGTTCCAGCCAAGGAGTGGGCATCCGCTGGCTGATCTGCCCTACGGGCTGCTTGGCTGCAAGGTATATCCCTGACAGTTTGGACGTGAAAGGCAAAAGTTTAGATAGTTTGATTTGGGAGTTGCGGTCTACAGGGTTATGTGCACGCTAGCATACTTTTGGGACCCGCAAAACGACTACGTTCAACCTCATAGTGAGAACCCAAATAGAAGTGACCCTGACTTGGAGAATCCCCTATATAGGGGCCTTGATATTTCGAGCAGCGCTTTTCGTAGTGAGCCAACAATAGTGTTGGATATTTTTAGGCCCCTATAGCAGGTCTTGGCTTGAAATCTTTACATGCTACGCACTTTTACCAGAATCTCTGAAGCTGGGTTCCCATCAGTTGCTCCCAAAATCTCGAAAACCGCAGGCAATACCGACTCACCCGATCCGCCAGGGTACTGGGCTGCCGGTATTGTAGTACTGAGGATAAAACCTGAGGGTGGTAACGAGCATCACGACCACCAGCATTGGTCGTTGAATGTTTCGACCTCGGCCGCTGCTTTGAAACCCAAACTGCAATGGTGAGATACCAAGAGAGAGCCTAAGCCACGAACCCCCCCCCAAAAAAAAAACAAAAAAATTGCAGATTCCATGATCCCAAGCCGAAGCCTTCACAGCCCCTACGCCCCAACAACTCTAGGCGCAGCTAACCCACCTCCTAGCCTTGCCGTGGGAACCGAGGAGCCCAACACTGCACCTGGAATCATTACTTTATCCTGGCAGTGCTAGGGAGACCCCTTAAAGACGACCCTTCTTAACCCTACTTATGGCTCTCTTGGAACTTAGTGAGAGGGTCTATATCTTCAAGGATCCTCCTAATCCTGATTCCTACTTTAGAAGGTGATATCCCTGTAAAGCGGCAGGTGTCAGCCCTTGGACACTCTCCCCAGCCCGTGCAAGTTTAGATGATGGTGATGATGTTGATGATGATGATGATGACGATGATTAGTAGTAGTAGTAGTAGTAGTAGTAGTAATAGTACAAGTAGTAGTAGTAGTAGTAGTAGTAGTAGTCGTAGTAGTTTTGTTAGTCTTCATGTCCTTGTGCTGTTTAGCTGAAGTTCGGGCTGCAAGGCTCTCCCCTGAAGTGCTCGGATACCACGGCTGCCGCCGGCATTCAGGACAGAGCCCAAACGGCCAATGCTACCCTAAGCCCTCAACGCTGGCTGGGGATGATACGGGCAGGTTCCGGGTGCATCATTGCAACATACTAACTCGAAGCCATTGGCTGTGCTTAACTAGGATTCCATCTGAAGCCTTTTGAGTCAAGTAACTGTGTGTCCTGGGGCTTCGCATCTCCAGGACGGCGACATTTTGACGGCGATTGCTCGCAAGGCCATATAACTAGCGCAAAATGACCGAGCCTTCGACATCCAGAAAGTTTGTATGCTCCACGACAGCGGCGTGACACTCTAACATGATCAGATGTCAAAGAGTGTGAACTCACATAGGTGCCGGCAATCGTTACTGTGGCAGTAAAGATTACTGTGCTTGGCCCAGTGTGGCCATTCTCTGGCAGTGTCATGCTAGCCTCGACTTAGGCTCTTGATTCTTGGTACAGTCCTCTCTGAAATCGGACAGCCCGTAGAAGCTTTGCCAAACACGACGTGGGGCCCGGAAAGACGCACACTATTCATTGCTCAGAGAAACCTGCAAATCTTGAAACACAAGCTGCATCGGAAACCACCCAAATGCTGCCGCGACATGAGGCTGTCATGCCAGGAAGCACCAAGCCATGACAGGAAAGTGACTGCTGTCACATACCTGTGATTCTTCACCTCTAGTTTTTGACAGCAGTCTCCTGCAACAACATGCGCCGACAAGAAAGCTGCTACCACCGCCCCTCGTAAATCATAGATGGTAGGTACGAGGCAACGGGGAATAGCCATGAAGCATGACCACGTCAACAATAGCCACATCTCAAGAGAGAGGGAGAGAGAAGCATCAACAGAAAACCTCTATGAACATATACTAACTGATCAGCAATCTCGCTTGACAACAGAAATGACGTGGGTTCAGCCGTGGCCCCTAAACCCTACGCCCTACACCCCTCAATCCTAAACCCTATCGGGGAAACACACCTTAAGGGATGTAATTTAACATACCATAATAAGGAAACCGATAGATCCTTATTATGGTAACTTAAATCAGACCTCTTAACAAGAACCCAGTGAATTGCTTCCAGGCAGCTTTATACTCGAGCTCCCGTGCCTTCGCGTTGGTTCGAGTGAATGGAGACTCGGCATGGCCCTAAACACGACACCAAGCCCTAAACCCTACACCCTTCGTTCTTAGGGTTGATTCGTGGGTTTCAGGTATAGGGCTTAAGTGTTTGCAAAGTTTAGTTTTGGGCCGTAGGGCGTGAGGTTGAGGGCCCTGGCGGTGTAGAGTTTAAGATTTTTCTGGGAGTTTAGTACAGAAGCCTCAATAATCACCCTAAACCCTAAACCCTACACCCTAAACCCTAAACCCATATCACCTGCAAGGGTTTGAGTTCAGGCTCAGATTCCACCTTCGCTACCCTGAGGGCAAAACAGTCTCAATTTTCTCCGACCGCCTGCAGCCCACCGTCAGTCGAACCTTCACTTTATAAGGAGTTTCGGGCTTACGGGCTGTGGGGTTTGGAGTTTAAGGTTTTGTAGGATGTAGGTTTTCGGGCTTTTGAGGCCTAGTCTTCAAATCCTAAGGAACTGTGCTCACATGGGGCTACCTCGGTGGAGAACAATGTTCCGCTCCGGAACACTTGAGAAACGTGGACAAAGTGGAGGGCGCCACAGCTGCCAATGAACTGCATATCGCACTGCAGACCACCCTACCTTCGTATCTTCCATCCCTATAGCCTTAGATCATGTAACATGGTTGTAATTTCACCCTTTTACAGAAGATCCAAGTAAAGGCCAGCTGGGTTTGAGGGTTTGGCTTTCGAGAGTAGTCGTCCGAGTTGGAGGTGCAGGGGTCAAATTCTTCGGCGGCGCCGAAGAGATGCAAATTATTGAGCCAAAGCTGGATGTTAAACAAATCCTGCCAGAGTTTAAGCCATGAATCTGTACTCCGGGAAGCAACTATGGAACATGAAGCCCTGAAACATCAATGCATTGCTGCCGAGAAGCTCATGGGATGTAGTAAGTCGGATATAGGTAAAGCAGCGAAGTAGGACCATCCCGGTTAGGGGTATTCAGAACTTGTGCAGCAAGCGGCTGGATCCTGCAAAACTCAAAAGGACCTCAAGGACTCCTGGCATTCTCTGAGGTGCAGCAGAGGCTTTCGCTGCTTTGCAGGCAGATGGCTGCGTGCTGACATGGGGCTCGCCCCAATGGCTGGAGGTGGGTTTAAGGCAGTAGAATTCAGGATTCAGGGTTTCCAGACCGGAGCCCAGTGGGAAAACGGGGTAAGGAGAGCATCAGGTTTGGGGCATGTTGGCAACAGTTTCTTACAGCTGTTGCTTTTTGCGTTTTCTTTTGCATGAAGAGATGTTGATGTTGAACATGGGTCTGACAAGCCTTTCTGTGCCGAGCTTCCATGCCCGAGGGTACATCCGATTCAGGGCTTCCTCGTAATTGTCCGGTCAGCAATTCGGGTTTAGGCTGCAAGGGGTCGCTGCCGAATGAAAAAAAAGAGTGGCGCTTTGCAGAACCCGTTGAAGTTGTAGGGAAAGACTCGTGCATCAAAGATCCCCAAAAAACCGCTCAGCAATGTTTGCTCTCGGATACATCCCTAGCTCTAATGCTTAAGCCATAAACCGGTTGTATCGTTTGATGCCGGATCGGGGCGAAGACCGAAAGGGGTGACTGGGGGCCCTGCAATCTCGGGGTGGGGTTTACCCAGCCAGAAAAAGGTATTTCCACGAAGAGTGCATATCATCTTATATCAGATCATATCAGGGCATATCATACAGTATCATATCAGTCAATCTATCTATATATACATACACACACACACACCATCTTTGAGCGTGTGTTTGCTTCTAAGTCACATGCTGACGCACGTGTACGTATGTCTGTTCACTTGTATGAGGTTGTACAAACATGTCTATACGTGTGGGTATTTATAAGTAGAAGTTTATGCAAACCTATATGTCTATGTGTATGTTTGTATGTATGTATGCGTGCACATACGTATACAGATGTACAAAGATGTGTATGTACATGCCGCCGTCTGGAAATTAGCCCTGATCCTCAGGGGCCCTGCCTGCAGCCGGACATTCAGAACGTGAAGGAGCTCCAGGCTCAGGTGGTTTCGGTACATTGCGAATACTTCGAGCAGGGTTCAGCATGTTGGTGCCGGTCGATTCTACTCAAATAAATAAATAATGCAAGTCGCCCACAAGAGCATAGCGAAAACTATAGTGACTCGTGACTATAGCTTTGAAGGGTGTGAAGGGGCATCGCGGGTGGGGAAAGCGTCTTGCTAGAATCAAGTACGAGCACCTAACCCTTCTTTCTCGAAGCCTCTACACTGCACGGAGGAGATCTTGGCCACTGGCGGTGCATTTGCCGCGAAGATTGAAGATGGCTCCACCGTGCTTTGGGGTGCCTTGGGTTAGTTTGTGGTTTCGGATATATGAACAGTGTCATCATGGTTTAGTCTAGGGTTTTGTTACGGTCTTGCGGCCCGTAGCAAAGAACAGGTTCTGCTAGCTGCTTCAGTTGTGGGAAAGACCATCTGGAATCGGGAGTTGTGACTGGCTTCTTGTTAAGCCGTTTCAATATGCAAAAGCACACATTAGTAATGACTAAGGAATGCCATGCCTTGCCATCGTATGCACCGAGCCCCTTAGCAAGAACCTCAGGCTCTAAGCATACAAACTGGAGCCCCATGTGAGAGACCGGCTGAACCCCAAACCTGAAACCCAAACCCCATACCCTTAAGCCCACGCCCTAAACCCCAAAACCCACAGCTGAGGCGCCTACATGCGAGAGGAGCTAGAAGCCTTGGGATTTCGAAGCCGGCTCAGGGATCTTCAGGAGAACCTGGGTGCTGGCTTTGGCGGTTATAGGCTTTAGGGGTTTACTGTACCTTAAACTACCAAAACCTACTTTTTTGCAGGGTCCCTACAAATTCTATATTAGGGTTTATAATAAGGACCTACAAAAAAGTAGGTTATGGTAGTTCAAGGTAGGGTTTTGGATGTGGGGTTTACCTATTTAAGTACAGCTTGGACTCTGGATTTGGATATGGGGATTAGAGTTTATAGGTCTAGGGTCGTGGATTTAGCACGCAGGTTTTAGGATCAGCCAGAGACTCACTGAGGGCGTTTGCTGGGTTCCCAGCTCGTAGTTAGGATGCTGCAGGCATGCTTTTCACTCCTTTCTGGTTTGCATATATGCTTCCTGATAATGACCGCGGACCAACTGGAAATTATGGCTGGTTGGTCTTGTGCACTCTAAACAAGAGGGGTTGACACTTTCCTGGACCTCGCGGATGGCTGCAAGCAGCTGTGCTGCGCAGATAGATATAGATAAACGATAAACTTGCTGGCCTTGGCGGGAAGGACGCCTGCAGCTTCCATCGTCATCATGTAATTTGGATCGGGCGCTTGAGGAATGCTGTAACAGGACCTCGAGGCCACCGCACATTCGATGGCAGCGCGCCTGGCTGATGGGACGGTGTTTAGCCACTTGGTTGCATGATGTCGACTGCTAGCCGGCAGCGCCTTTGAGGATTCGGGGCATGATCACATGAAGGGCGTTGTGCATCGGGAGTCTTTGTAGAGGTTGACAACCTGCGGCGTTGAATTTTGTTTCGAATCTGGATATGTCGTTGCCAGTTATTCTGCCAAACCACGAGCCTCTACAACGCGCACACGTTGCAAGAGCTTAGGTTGGGGTCGCAACGAGTTGGGCTTGATCTTGCAGAAGGCCAGCAAATCCAAGCCACACCGACTGCCATGGGAGACTTGTAGAGTCGGTACTTCAGCACTCCCGAAACCTGTTCCAGAGTCACCGCGTGATCCCTCAAGTCTACCAGGAGCTTTCAGAGAAGGCGACACAGATGAAGGCTACGGAGCGAGCGTTCGCTGCCGTGCTGTCGTCTGGCTCTGTGGTGACGTGGGGCGATGCAGACTATGGTGGGGACAGCGAACATGTCCAGGTGCCGCTCCACAGCAAAGAAGTGAGTGCAGGGTGTGTTTGCGCCTTCTAGCGCAGCCACGACGCTGCGACAATGATGGGGCAAGCATCACGCATGTGCATGTATATGTGCCTGACGAGGGCACCTTCTGCAAAACAAGATGTCAGTACTAGTCAGTACTACCATATCTCCTCAAACACTGAATACCAGAGAGTGCGATGCAGAAAGCTGTGCAACGTGAAATTCTGGCTGTCATTGCTGTCATTCCCCGACTGTATTTTCTTGGTTGTGGTGATTGAGAGAGTGGAAGGAGCTGCTTCATGATGTTCGGTATCTACAATCCTCTGCTGCAGCGTTTGCTGCGCTGAGGAGCGATGGGACGGTCGCCTCGGTAGAAATAATTGGCAGACCAGGGCAGACATGTTACAGTAGGGAACAAGTTGAAAGGACAGCTGGAGAGAATGCCCCAGTATTCGTATTAGCTGTTAGTACTAATTACTTGTATTAGTACTAGCATTAGTAGTAGCTTTTGTATGCATCTGAGTTTTCGTATTCACCTTCCGCCAGTCGTTCGCTCCAGCACACCCCCTTTCAGCGTATCCAGGAACATCATGCGCAACATCGTCATCATCGTAGACATCATTGTCCGTACTGTACGGTTTCGTCATTATGACGCCGATCATTGCTGCTGTCGGCACCATCGTCATTGTACACTGTTGAGCCATCGCCATCATCACCACAACCAGAATCATCCTCTTCACCGTTGTGTTCATACCAACTCGCCCGTCCTGCACATTGCAAGGTTGTAACATGGGGTCATTCTCGCTTTGGGGGAGACTCGGCTGATGTCCAGTCGCAGTTGCACGACGTGCAGCTCGTGCAGGCCCTTGACTGGCAGAAGCAGCGGCAATTTTCAGACGTTGTACTAGAAGGCGTCATGCTTCGACTCGGCTGTTATCGCAGGTGCTAAATCCTGCTAATGTGCTGAATGTCCATAGTTGCTCTTCCCCATTGCCACGAACATCAGTACCACACCCATCGTCATCAGCTGCAGCTGCAGAATCATCGCCATGGCAGCAACACCTCCTGTCACACCATCGTCGGACCATCTTTCTCGTTGCAGCAGCCATCACATTCAGCAGCAGCCCCATCATTTACCGATTAGATGTTTTCCCAAAGTGCATATTTCTCGCCATCGTTTGCGATGTTATTATCGCCATCATTCTCACTCCTTCCGCACTTGCATCATCTGGGATTTAGAGACCTGAGCCTCAAAGCCGGAGGCCACAGCGGATGCCTTTGCTGTCATCCTCGGTGATGGATCCGTCGTCACCTGGGGAGATGCATCTGCTGGAGGGAACAGCCAAGCTGTCCAGGCATGCCCAGAGAGACTGACAGAGAGAGACAGTGGGGAGGCAACTCCCCACCACAGCCCTGGCGAAAGAAAGAGGGAGGGAGGGAGGGAGGTCCTGTCAGCATTTCTACACAGGCTTCCATGCCCTCGAAGCACGAACCCTCGAAGCACGAAATCTCCAGGAGGAGCTGAAGTCCGTCGAGCGGATCGAGTCCACCTGTGCAGACTTTGCCGCTCTCCTGGTCGGGGGCTCCGTCGTCACCTGGGGAGACCCCTCTTGTGGCGGCGACAGCAGTACTGTGCAGGAGAGGTCAATTGCACTACGCAAAGGATTTTCCGCTTTGCTTCCGTTTGCACACGAAGTATACTGAATCCTTTCGTTCTTCCTCTCTTTTTGGCATCTCTTGCATTTACCCACCTGCTTTCCTGTCTTGCTTGTCTCTCGGATGCCAGGAGCAGCTTCAGGATGTCCTCCTCATCCGCAGCACCTCCTTCGCTTTCGCAGCTCTCCGCAGAGACGGAAGGGTGGTGACCTGGGGCTGTCCTGCATCGGGTGGGGACAGCAGCTCGGTTTCGGAGGAGCTGGAGGATGTCAATCAGTTTCATCCAGCGCACTTGGCTCACCGGCCTGCAAGAGGGCTGAAGCGAAACCGTGAGCTGGGACAGAAAAAGCTGCGCTGTCTGACTGATTGAATATGAGGCTGCAGTCTAGAGTGCCTCATGGGCAGGTAGGGTGTGACGGGGTCTTTGGCTACTGGCAGGGCTCAGACATGGCATCCAGCGACTGAGATCAGGAAGGAAAGGATTGCACTGTCTCAGCGATGAGCCCTCAAAGCGAGATCAGCGAGACCAGACCGGCCACTGTCGTTGAGTAAGTTTTGCGCTAGTATCGCGATCGACAGTCCCATACCCCATATCCCAGCAAAGAAGGCCTCAGAACCCGATGGCACGAGCCTAAAAGAGGGGTCGCACCCCACAAGATGAGTTTCGATCTCTGGCCCCTTGCAGCGATGAGGTGTCGTCCATCATCTGAAGCTCGGCCCCGATGAGAGTGGACTTCCAGTGCCTCAAATCGCCCAAGACGCCTAAGGCCTGGGTTCGTGCTTCCCCAAGTCTCGGACCACAAAGGGGAGTCGACGCTGAGATATTATCGTGGTGTTGACTTCGATAAGCAGTCAAAGCATGGGAACAGAATGCATAAGAGATCCACGCATCTCTGCTCAAATGCCTCGATCGGTTTAAGAGAAGAGGCTCACTGAAGGCCTCCCCTTTGCCATGGTGCCTTCCTTCCAGCCAAGCTGGCAGAACGGCCGCCATCCTCGGCCCCAACTGTGGGAAGAAGCAGGATCATCAGAAGCCCAAGTCAGCTTTGCCGCTCCAGGCTTCATCTCCGCATATACCCGTACACCCGAGTTCACTGAAGGTTTGGGTTTAGGGTTTAGGGCTACGGTTTTTACAAGATGCTGTCTTGTAACACGGATTCGGACAAGGCTCAATCACTGTAGCTGGTCATCCACCACGGCGAAGCTCAAGCACAGCACTTCCAGAAAGAGTGACTCAGTCATGCTGTTGAAGTATGCTCCATGACGAGCCACTTCGTCGAGAGTTTCGATCCCAGTGCCATTGCGAAAAAGTGTAAACCGTAAACCCTCGTATGAAGCCTCTGGCGGTTAGTGTCGCATTTAGGTTTCATGCAAAGCCCGAAACAGGTCCAGCTAGCTGCCTCCTTGCATGAACTGATATGGGGGCCTGACAGCCAGCTATATGATTCCTAAGACTCCGCGAGTGTATTCATATATATATATATATATATATACATAAGCATATGAACACAGACACGCAGACAGACAGAGACAGAGGCAGAGACAGACCAAACGGTCAGACCCTAAACCCACGAGGCCTCTATATCAGTCGTTAGTTTCTCATCCAGGGGCTCGAAGATCGAGCCCGGACGAGGTCAGCGCCATCCTCCGCGGAATGCTAAAGAAGGGGACATGAGGGTTCTACTGAGTACGATACGCGGTTACCATAAGGGCTACGATGCTTAAGGATTACCAGAAGTGGAACCAGAGCCCATAGGACATAAGACATAAAGGTCATCATAGGGTGAACTACCATAATAGGAAATGACCGTAAGGGCTACGATAAACTGTAAAGAACCAGAGCCCATGGACATTATCATAAGGGGTTCTATAAGGGGTTACTACAAGGTCTATTATAGTTAAGGCTCACCATGGGGGGAACAGGGCACCGGCGGGGCGGTGCAGAGGGCTTTTGCGGTTTAGGGTTTAGGGTTTAGGGGTTTGGGATCTTTAAGACTTCAAGTGTGCTTGTGTGAATAGCTTATTGGTCAAGCTATCGCGGCACGAAGCATGGAAGACCATATGCGGTACCCCTCATTATTCCACTTGTAGCAGCCCTTGCAGGGGGTCATCCGTGCAGTAGCCCCTTATTGTTTGCCGGTGTAGTAGCTCTTATGGTATCCACAGAGTAGCCCCTTACAATAAACCTGGTACTAACCGCTTATAGTATCCCTCGTGCTTTAATATAGTCCTCTTTATAGTAACTCCAGCCCTAAACCCTAAACCCTAACCCCTATGGGTGATGCGCCGTGCCTTTGAGTGGTTGAGATTACCACTGAACTGGCGACCTCTAGGCGCGCAAAGAAAGTCACAAACTGGTTTCTTCTTGGGTTCTCGTTCGGGTATATATAGTAACGTTTTAGGGTTTCGGGTTTAGTGTTGAGGGTTTCAGGACCCTGTACATGCTGAGTATGTCAGCTCAAGACTGATTGTTGGCATATCTTGTCAGTTCAGAAGCTGCGCATGGGAATACGGATCCTGCGGTTGATGGTTGATGTGAATGCTTGTTTAATCATGACAACAGTTTGCGTAGAGACGTCACGCACATGTGAAAACGATCTTCCGAACACTCTGCTGTTGGTCAGTTCGAGTGCCTGCCTGCACCATGGCTTTTGGGGACCTAGAGTGCCGTCTCTCCGGTTTGAGTTGGTCTACCGGGAGTCCTAAGTTATAAGGTCCATCTCTGTACGTTTTTAAGTTCAATAGGGCTTGTTTTTGTGCCATGCTATGCAGTGACTACATTAACGAACCCTTGAAAACCAAGACTCGACCAGGATATGCCGTCATGACCATGCTAAGCCTCGAAATCCGGACCCTGAGCCCTGCATACCAACGATAGAACCTTATATTGAACCTATAATAATACTTGAACTCCTGAACGCCGTCAACCCACCGTACAAGCGCTAGAAACAAGGCGTGAACCCTTTGAAATCCCGGTTAACCCACAACGTCTAAATGAATGTTATATCCCAAAATGACCACGTTTTGGCTCAAGCGTGCGTGAACGGTCCAGCACATGCAGTTTTGCCTTGCTGAATCCAGCGGAAGCCTCGAAGTAGCTAAGGTGATGCTCTTTTGTCAGGATGACATAGGGCTTTATGCATTGTACTGTAGCATGATCAGAGCTTCATACGATCTGGTTGTTACGGTTATGTTTCAGGGAGATTGTAAGGTCCATTGCTCGCTGCCAGTCTCGCAGAGTTCTGGCCCTAAGACTACCGTAGCAAGACCTCCACTGCAGATCCCTGTTTGACAAGCCCCTTCCGATGCCGCGAAAGCCTGCGACTAGTGTTAGCGACTATATAGAGGTTTAAAGCCCAAACTTCAAAGCAGCAAGAAAAGGGAATCGCAGCAGAAACAACACTCTGGCCAAGCCTCCGGGGTCAGAGAGGCCTCGTCTCCCCAGCGATCAGGGTTGAGCACTGGTTGAGCATTGCGGAGTCTGGCGTGTACTCCAGGCTAACTGACAGCAGTAGGTTGTTGTTTGGAGCTGGCTCGGCAGTACAGAACACGGTGGTCTCGAAAGGATATGCGGTTATTGAGCACCAAGCTTCAAGTTGTGTCAAGGGCCTAAGGTCTTGAGTCTTGAGCACTGGTCTTTCCCGACCCAATTGCATTTGCGGAGGTGGTCTCAGCTAGGTGCACATACTGTGGGTTTGAAGTCACGACAGCGCAGGCCCTGGTGACCGGTGGTGTGCAGTGATCCCATGTTGTCCGTGCCACAGCCAAACGAACCAGAAGACCACCAGCCCCGGAACCGTCCAGCTTGGTCGTAATCGAAACCCCTGCGTCCCACTCCTCCAGCTCACAACGCGAAAAGCTTTGCAGGAGCTGAAAATGGCCGTCGCCGCTTTTGCAACACGTCTGCGAGAGGCCTTCGATGAGGCCGCCAAGGTATAGCTTTGTTTCTTCTTCTTGCTCTTCTCAGCCGGCATGTGCTTTTGTTTACGCGTTGGCGTGCATTTGTACATCACAGGTATGCTGTGCATACACATGCACACGCTTACACCCAGACAGAGACATCATCCATGCCCGCATAGCAGACCCGGGAGCATGCACACACACACACAGAGAGAGAGAGAGAGAGAGCACTCACTCACGTGCACAGTGCAGGCTGGCTTGGATGGCCAGAAATGCGAGTTTGATGAGGCGAGCTCGGCGGGGGCGGATGTGACTGGACTAGGAACAGCGGCGGGTTGAACGAATGATGTCTACAATGCCAGGTTGATTCGAAAGCATTGGGAAGAGAAGGCATTTCTTTAACTCCGGTGAGAGTGGAGCCTGCGGCAACTGCCAATGTTGCGAAGCTTAATGAGGCGGCGGCGTTTTTGGAGTCGCACAGGTATGTGTTTTTGCGCAGTACGGAAGAACTCCACGACTGAATACAGCTTCCCATCTAGACTTCCAGAAAACTGAGAAGCCGATGTGCACCTTCCCTGGCTCTTGCCAGAACACGCCCCGAGCCCTTCCGGTCCCTACGAGAATTGCACGTCGGTCCTGGCAGAAGCGTCGTGCGGGGTGAGGCATCGGGACAGATGATCCTTCATGGCGACGTCACGCGCGTGGTGCCTGCATGAGCCTGAGACAAAGGAATCAGGCCAACGTCCGACTGGGTGGTTATCTGCATATTATGTTAAGGAGCTGCATGTCAACGTCATGCAGCAGATCGGTGGCGGCTGCATTCAACCGTTTTAAAGGGAATGTTTTGCATCATTGGGCTAAGGCTTTTGTCTTTTATCCGTACGCCCTAAACATCTGCATGCAATGTACATAATTAAAGAAAACAAACATGCCATGAATCAATGAAGCGTAAGAATGGCTGTGTAGAAGCAGCACATCCCAGACGCAGGGTGCTCGCTAGCCAAACTCTTAGCCTGTAGCTTCCCAAACGTTAGGTCAAACCGGATTTGTTGGTTTGGGGGTACGCAGCTGGGCAAGAGGACGCTATCGAACTAACACTGTCCGATGATAGCAACTGCGGGGAATCTCCTTCGTGACTACTTCTCTGACGGCCCTGCAAATCCTCGCCCGGATTGCCCAAGCTGTGAGAGTCGAAAACCCTTCCCCCATATTGCGTCTTTACCAACTTCCCGCAGTGGCTTTCCTTTTCGCCTGAACTGGAACACCAGCCCTCCCTTGCAGCTTCATCTTGACCTCCCCGAAAAGGTCGGCATGCTATTTGCGCATTTTGCCGCCTGCCAGGATGAGGCTTGAAACAGACGTTTCAGGGCTGAAGAGCTTCAGGGTTTAAAGTCATTAGGTGGCTGAGGCCTCTGATGAAAGTTATTTTTTTGGATCGCTTAGAAGATTGATTCCGATCTGAGGAGGTCAAGGCTGGGTTTGTAAAACAGCACCTTCTTGCACCTCTGCTATCGTTCAGTTTCGCCCCACAGGTTGTCAGAATGCGTCGCAAGACCCGCAGAGGCCCGCTACGATCCCTGTATACCCCTCAGAATCCTACGAACAGCTCACAGAGCCGCTTCCAGCCTTGAGAAAGGCATTGATTCCTCTATAATACGGAGTTTATGTAGAGCAGTGGCATAGAGCATCTTCAAGCTTTCAGTGGCATTGCTTCAGCTGTAGAACAGTTCAATGCTTCTTTGGGAAATCTCAGGGAGAAGTCAGGGGAGCAGCCAGCAAGTATGGAGCGATAGTCAGAATCCTGTTGGAAATTCGGTCAAAGGCTAATTTCTGTTTGGACACTCTCAGTTTGCAACTGCTACCGGGCTACCGATCTTCAAGATCAACTCCAGTTCAAGATCTTCGGAGCTGCGCACCGGCCATATGTAGTAGGTATTAGCACTCGTCAATAAAGCGTGCTGCAGAGCGTGTGGTGAGGACTTGTATGTTCGATCCGCGACGTCTAGAATGAGAGGTTGCTGTTCAATGACCTAATTCCGAGGCATCCTACGAACTAAGTCTGCTGTCGCATCCAGGCAGTCGAAATTGGAAAACCAATTCGACCGGCACGTCTCTTCAGAGCAAGACATGCATCCGACAGGAGGCCAGAAACAAGCTGGTCACCGCGGTCTTGGAGGCCGTTCGGGGTATTCATGCGGCATCAAACAGATTCTTCCTCCTCTGCGGGAAAGATCGAAAAGTGTTGGCTTCCACCACTTGCCCCTGCAGGGTTGCTAGCAGATGTACGCTGTGATTGAGCTGGCGAGAGGGGTGAGATACCGGGTTTTGGGGTCAGCCCCGGTTTTGGGGTCAGCACGATTCAGGGCCGAAGACGCCATGGGCACTAGCAGTTCGCCCTTGCACCCTTTGACCCCGAATCGTTAAACTCAATGAACTACTAAACTCACGAGGCATTCGTCGATGGCCGCGCGGATGCCCCACACGAGCTTCGAAGCTGCGGGGATCGGCTGCTACCACAGCAGCTTGGGCTGAGAGGTTTTCTTCTTTGGAGGTTAGGGTTTTCCGGGCTGAAAGGGCATAGCGGTTCTTGCCTTGAGCTTTGTTGCCTTGAGTTGAAACATGATGGTGCTTGCCCGCACCGTCCCGGAATAGTCAAGCATGCCCCTGGGTTGTATTCTCTTATCACCTATCTTATCTTGAACTATACCCTCTCCTCGATTCCCCGATGTCGACTACAGGCATCTCCTGCATACCTTCCCTAAACCCTAAACCCTAAAACCCTAAACCCCAAACCCTCGACCGCCATCCATGGCTTGCCAAGGCTCTGGCCTCTCTCGAAGCCTCTCGCTCGCAGAAGGCTTGACAACAGTCCGAGAGTTCTATGTGGCTGCAACGGGGATCTGTAACGGTTTGCCGCAGGTTTCAGACAGATGTTTGGAAGAATTCCATAAGGTTCTGCATGGTAATGCGATGCTATAAGGGCCTTCTAGGGGCTCCATGAAAAAGGTAGCCTATGGTAGCCTGCAAGGGCCTGCAAGGGACCCTTCTACCTTTACCTCCAACAAAGTATCCTGAGGTTTGTAATCCACCCAGGGAAACCCAACCCCAATAACCCAAACACAACCCCCAAACTTCTCACCCCCAAGCCCAAAGAAAAAAGCGCTCAACCGACATTCGACGTGTTTTGGAGACTTTCTTTCTGCCAGAGCCAAGGATTTCAGCTCGCCAGGTGACCTTGCCGACAGGCTGGCGCCGGCCTGTCTGAGTTGAGCTTTAGCTTTCGAGCAGAAACCCTAAACCCTAATGCTCGTCGCTGCAAGCGTTCCGTTCCGCCGGTAGTGCAGTTGCTTTGGCATGGTTTGGTTTCTATTCGGTATACTTTCTAGACAAAGCGGCTCGGTTGACTCTTTATTCGTTTGTGCGTATGTGTTTGTGTGTGTGTGTGTGTCCGTGTGAGAGTGTGTCCTTGTACGAGGGTGTCTTCTGCTCCGTCTCGATCTCTGATCTCCCTCTCTCTCTCTCTCTCCCACTCTCGTTGTCTGCCTCGTCCTCCGTCTCTTTTTGCTTTCCTTTCAGTCTCACTCGCTCGCTTGCTCCTGCACATGCTCGCTTAGTGCTTGCACTAACTCAGTGGTTCCGGTTTCCTCAGAGGCCCTCCCGAGGACCCCATCAGCAACGGACCCCGAATTTCAGGGAGCCTCCCGGGAACTGAACCTGGGAACTCTCCTCTGCGTGGTGAGGCTTCGACTTGCCCCATTGTGGGCTACATGGAGAGGCAGGAACGAGTGTGAGGGTCAGGAGTTTGAGCTCTGAACATGGGGCTTTAGGTTAAAACCATGCTACCGTCGGAGACCGACCCGGTGGCAAAGATAAGGTTTTAGGATGGAGGGTTTCGTCGGAACGACGAAGAAGCTAGCGACATGCGAACGCGCGTAGGTTTGCTGCATAAGTGTATGTACATTGTTTTGATGCCCGGGTGTCTGTCCCGCCTGTTCTCTGGAGATGCGAACACGAAGAGGTTGAAGGAGTGCACCCTGCATATCATCGAGGTTTGCGAAAACCGGGTGCCGAAACGTATGCGTGGGCGAGGTTAGTTTGGGTTAACGCAGCTTGAAGTAAACCCACACTTAACACCTTCCAACCCCCGTTTGCGTGTCCTAAACTTTAAACTCGCTGTATATGGTTTTCTTAGCTAAGCCCACCGAAACAAACCAAAGGGAAACCTTATAAGCCCGCCCGACCCAACTGTTGATTTTTCAGGCGCCACCACTCAAAGCAGAGCTGGGGGTGGTCCTGGTATGCCGGAGCCCTGCAACCCAAACATTAAAGCCCACGGACCCCAAACTCCACAACATTTCTTTTGTATCCCCATGCAAGGATGCTAAACTCTTACGGTCCTGGAGCCTTATAAAGCCCCGGAGAGTGGAAACCCCTAAACGTTCGGGTCTCAGGTTCTTGAAGGGTTTAGGGATTAAAGGGCGGAAGAAGCTTGGGATTCAGAGATAACGCCAGTAAACGCAACCAATCTGTGTGACTTATAAGGGTAGTATAGATATCTGAGTCTTAGCAACCAGAATATTCCGCAAAAACATTCTCACTGTTGAGGCCCCTACGTTGCCCTTACAGGCACAGACTAGACTAGGACCTAAACCCTAAACCCTAAACCCTAAGACTAGAACTTGGCAAACAAGGCTACGTTGGCTCCTGCCCTTGATGGGAAAGTGCGCCCATGAACAGCTGCAGGAAATTAGAGATTTCTAGCGGCCCTAGCATATAGACCCTGATTGCTAGGATCCTTCTTGAAAGCATTCTGAAATGAAGCACCCGTGGTTTTCAGCAAATCGCCTGTGTCAAAGCTACATGACCCTGTTATTCGCGGCCCCCGCTTCGAGGCCGTTTGCCTGTGAAACCGCAACAGATCAATGTATGCATGGTGCTACCACCTGTTCACCAGGCTAGATGCGGAAGTAAGAGCTCGGGTGGTAACGATGATGAAATTGCCTGACATCTGATCGAAATTCTGCAGCAACAGATCCACGAAGCAGTGGTGGATCACAGAAACCGTAGTTTCTCACAATCATATTCTTACTGAGATGAGAGTGGTAATCGCTTCCCCATTTATTAAACACACCCCTCAGAATAATAACAACAGCTAAAATATACGATTATTAATACTAAGATCAAGGTTCATACCAGTAACAACAAAAGTAGTAGTAGTAGTATCAGTAGTAGTAGTAGTAGTAGTAGTAGTAGGAGGAGGAGGAGGAGGAGGTGTAGTAGTAACACGTTCTGGGAAACTCCCTCGAAGACATCCCCGCCATGTAAAACCTGTTTTGAATTGCGGGATGTAAGAGCAAGAGAAGAAGCAAGAGAAACAGGAAGAGCAACAGCAAGAGGAGTAGCAAAGCAAGAGCCGCAGCAGGAGCAGGAGCAAGAGCCCGAGCAGGAGGAGGATCCTGCCCAATGTGACAGTAGAGANNCCCCCCCCCCCCCCCCGCCGGTAATAACAACACTTTCTGAGTTTTTATTGGGGAGAGCCGCCCTCCCCCTTGAATACTAGGGGGAAGCAGAGTAGGAACAATTGTAACGTGACCACCATCACAGCACACGGAATAGATCCCATCAACCTGCATGTGAGCCGAAGCAGACGAGACCCCCCAGGCGAGTACTGCGCTGTGTCTTGGCAAGAGAGCGTAAGCAGGGCACAGCGGGCTGCATTAAGCATGCATGGAATGCAATGTGGGTTTGGAGCCGGGGGTATGGGCAGTGCAGGATTTCAGGTTAATTAGTGCAGCGTCGGCAGTACTTAGACAGTGGCCGACGTGGTAGTAAAGCCTACTGTCAAGCCTCAGACTGAGCTCGGCCTATGAGACTTTGAACCTCTTCGAGATTGCCTGAGATCGCATGGCGCAGGCCTTGTGAGACGTAAGAGGCAGCAAATGGTGTACCCAAGCATAGACTCTATGCTCGCATACACCAGTTGCTGCCCCGTACGTCTCACAAGGCATAGACTCTAAGTAGTAATTACAGTCCTCGATATGAAGACCCTTTCTAAAAGCCTTTGTTAAGAGAACAGCACACCTGCTTTCTAAAGCCGAACACTGCTCGGAGTCCCTTGCTTTTGAATGCGACTTGCCTTCGAGCCGTCCACCAAGAAGCTTGAATGCTTGACTCCGTATATCCAACAAGGAAACGGTTGGAGGTGCTTGTGCTACTGACATGTGGGTGGTTGTCAAAAT